ACAGTTGAGGGCTGTTTGGAAACTGAAACAGTATTTGCTGTGAGAGCAAGAAGGAGACAGCAAGGAGCCTGGGCGCGGCTTAGCTCAGCTGTTCTGTGTACTAAAGCTGCTTGGTGCTGTGAAACTAAAACTGAAGCTGAAACTCCTCTCCTCTGCTTGTGTTTTGCATTTTCAGGTGGGGAGGGGGAGTAGAACTCCTTAGCATCAGAGCATGTTAATAATAATATACAAAATACTAATGCTCTGATGGTCATTTCGAAAAATCCTTTCTTAGTGAGCACCTAGAAGCCAAGAGGAACATACATGCCAAATTTCAAGTTTGTAGGCTTTACAGTTCTGGAGATTTTGTGATGATGCGTGAGAGGTATCTTTGCTTTTATATACTGTATATAGAAAGATACATTATTCTCTCCATCCAGCTTATTTGCAGATTCTTTTTTATTTCTTTTCAGACTTGCCCGATATATTGCTTAGTGAGTGGTCTCTTCATTCCAGATGCCCAATTCACTTTTTTTTTCTTCTGTGTTTTGAAATATTACCAGGAACATGGAAGCTTTTGCCGTGGACCCATTGCAAAAAGAAGGCCTTGTATCACAGGAAAGCCACGGAGCTTCAGCTGGAAGGTCCTACAACAGAAGCCCCTTCCAGGATGTGGCTGAGGAAAGTAAGAATTCCGAGTGTGAGAGAAAAATAGCAAAAGTGGGCGGGGGAGTGGGGGGGAAGGATAGAAATGCCTGAGAGACAAGGGGAAAAAAATCATAATATAATAAGAACATGCTGCCTCAGACCTTAGCTTGTCTAGTCTTGCAATCTATTCTCACAACCAATTGCACAAGGAAGCCTACTCGTCTCCTAGCGTATGGCCCTTCAGAGGCAGTCATGTTGTCATCCCGACTAATAATCAATGATCCCCCATGGCTTCCGTAAATTGGCTCAACTCTTGTCTGAAGCCAGAACCAATGGGATAGCCAGCAACACGTTTCGTGGAAGCAAATTTGAAATGGTTGAATACAAAGCCGAATTGTGTTTTGCGATTAAAAAAAATACTTCCTGTTGTCTGTTATGGTTCTTTCAAGATTCAATTTCATTGGGTGATCTTTGGATGTTTTATTTTGGAAAAGGAGAAAATGTTCGCCTTTTCTTACAGTGGATACACAGTGCATTGACACCTTTAACTGTTTACCAGTGGAGATTTATCTATCTATCTATCATCCATCATCCAACTGTCTATCTATCTATCATCTATTTATCATCCATTATCTATGAATCATCCATATGTCTGTCTGTCTATCACCTATTTATATCTCTATCATCTATCCATCCATCCATCCATTTCATCTGTCTGTCTGTCTGTCTGTCTGTCTGTCTATCTATCTATCTATCTATCTATCTATCTATCTATCTATCTATCT